TGACAGAGAGAGACACAGCAAGAGAGGGAACACAGGCAGGGGGAGTGGGAGGGGGAGAAGCAGGCTTCCCGCTGAGCAGGGAGCCCGATGTGGGGACTCGATCCCAGGACCCTGGGATCATGACCTGAGCCGAAGGCAGATGCTTAACGACTGAGCCACCCAGGTGCCCCAGTTTCATAACTATTTTAAAGTAGGATGGGAATCGGGTTTCCTGGAGTTCCCACTCATCCTCCCATCTTCCCAGATATCTCTACAGTAATACTTTGAAAGCTATTTTATTTCTCCCTCTGATATTGTTACCTCTCTTCTGACTTCTATACAATGTTGACTCTTCTTATTTCATTTAACGTTTGATTTCACAAAGATTTTACACGTGGGTATAAAGCGGGTTTGGTTTTTTTAAGAATTAATTTTTTTTCCCCCCGGGAGATTTAATTTTAAAGTATGTGGACCCTAAAGTGCATTTTGTAAAATAATTTCCTGCATTAATGTTGATTTACTTCACTTAAAGAGTAAAGATTTAAATTTAATTCATTTTCCTTAGAAAGGACTATAAAGGCCATATACCATGGCCAGAGGAAAATCAATGTCTTTTTAAAGGGATACCATAGTTGTGAAAAAGTATATTGACTTTTTTTCATGGCTTTGTCAATTTCATGCCGCTTTTGTTCAGTTCTATTTGGTGAAATTATTTTTTAGTACCTATTGAGCTCCGCTGTGAAAAATATTTCCGTGGATACTAATGATTCATTAGCCAGCATTTCAACAGGGTTATCCTTGAATTCATGGCAGCGCTGAGAATTGTTTGTTCCAACACATCTGTTATATTAGTCAGGTTTTAGTTCTCTATTATGGGAATCTCAGAAACCATTTGCCTGGGTTCAGGTTATCTGTGAATTTTCATATTATTTTATGGCCACCAGCTGCATTTTATGACTATATATTAAATGTTTTTTTGTTTTTCAAATAACTTTTCCAAATGGTCTCAGTTTCTAATCCAAAGGAAATCAGGCCTATGCCCAGACATCTACTGTTCAACAAGTTACAGCTACTGCAAAACCCCAAATAAACGAAAAAGAAACAAAAAGAAAACTCTTCTTCAAAAAGGAAAAACCCTGTGTAAAATGCCAGTGTGCCAAAAACCTAATACCTGACCTTTCCCTATATCTGTTCTTGCTGGGACATGCCTTCAGCTTTTAATTGGAACCTTTTTTCATAATTGTTGCCATTTAACACATTTAGTCTGTCAAATCATGGGATGTCTTTATAGCCATATAATAAACCCTAGAGAACAACTTCTCTGACTGTAGCCATCTGCAATGATCACAAAAGTAGCTTACAAAATACTGACAATCTTTATGGTAATAGGATACATATGGCAGCCCACAATTATGTGTAGCTGCATCCAATTAGTGTTGTACAATTACACAGTTTTATTGCTTAGTTAAAACAGTGAAAGCACTACATACTGGTAATTTGCACTAATCCCCGTCTCTTTAATAGCCCCTCAGTGTTTAAAATGTGGGGGAACATCTATAGTATTTAAAGGGCTTGGGATGAACATTAAATTATATCTCATGTTGTGAATACTCATTGATTGGCAATCAGTGGACTCCCACCTCACTTGTGGGTCATGTTTTATGGAGGCTTTAAAATACAGTCATAGCAAAAAGTTCTTTTTTTTTTTAACACCAGAAGCCCACTTGCTGGATCGGGCTGCCCAAGCCTGTGCTTGCAGCCTGTTAATGTCCTTCCTGGAACATGGTCAGGACGGGGATACATCCAGAGGAACAAAGTCAGAATCGGTTCAGGGAGCAGTATATGCCAGGGACTCCACATTTAAATGTGAACTTGTTAGAGGTTTGTCCCATTCCTAACTTTTAATTAAAAACTTAGTTCAAAGTAAATTTATAGCTGCCATTTGGGAAAATACTTTCTGGAGAGGGTTTTGTGAGTGTGTGAGTGTGTGAGTGTGTGTGTGTGTGTGTGTGTGTATGTGCTCACGCATGCATGTGTGTTTGAAACAGATGTATTTAGCAATCTGTGATTTTAACAGAGTTTTAATTACATTTTTAAATGGCCTCACTTGTGCCCCTCCGTAAGCGGCTCGGTAAGAAGTAAGGGTGAGCCCAGCTCAAGTTGCAGCAAGTGCTAATGGGGAACCCCATTTGTGAGGTGGTCTCATTATACTGCTTAGGAAAGGTGCTCTCCCATTGGAGGAGAGGAAACACTGGAATATATTCTTCTGTATCCTTCTCCCAAAGTGTTGACAGAGAAAAACCCAAAGCAACCTTGTTTCCTGCCCTGCCTGACAGTAAGTAAAACAGAATTCCAAACAAGAGGCCTGGACATTTATTCACCTGCAAAAACATTTTGCTGAAGCATTGCTAATGTAGTTGTGTCCAGAAATGTTTTCAATTACGTGGATTAGGCCTTTGTCTCTCATTCTTTTTGTCTATCATAAGCATCACGCTAACCTCTTTATGTTCATGAAAATTCTGTATGCTTTTTCAAAGCAGAGGAAGGGGACATGGTGGAAGTGATAGAAAAAGAACATTAAAAGGATAGATTCTGTGTGTTTTATTTAAATGTTGTTGGTTTATTTGAAAGAATTATTATTTTTATGTAATCCTAATTTTCTTTATTTTATGTTAGACTTTTTTGGTGCTTTTTTCCCCCTTAGGAATTGAAACTTTGAACTTTATTGCTCAGTATATTAAATACAACTGGCATATGGCTCTATGTGAGGTGGAATTCCTGTTTAAATGTAGACGCTTGAAAATAAAACCTTTGCTACGTGTAGGGGAATTACGTGGTCATATTCAGAACCAAAATGTGACTTATGACTGGATCTGCCAACATCTCCTTTCGTCCAACTTTTGAATACAGTTAGGTGATTATAGATAGTATGTTTAGAGGAAACCCACAAAATTCCTGTGTAAATGGAGTTGTGTAAACTAAAATCTGCATGACCTCCCAAAACACGGCCCATGGATGTTTGGACCTAACAGAACATCAAAGCCAGAGATTATTTTGCATTTTAGGAAGGTTATTGCTAACAAAATGGAATTAAGGAAGTAAACAATTCTGCTCTGTCCGGGAAGTCAACTAGGTAATTTTCTAGATGTTTCCATCTCAGGATTCTGTTCATGAAAAACATTTGCTTGTCACTTGGATGGCCGGAATGGTGGAGGTGCTAAGGCTACGATTTAGGGATTTTTTTGCCCGAGAACGTTTAGGCTGGGGATGACATTGTGCTTTGCAGCTCTCATGTTTCAGCGTCCCTAACTCAAACTTGGTCCTGCTGATGGGCTGGAGAGCTGTGTTGTTAAAGGAGGGAGGACAGTGTCCACCCCAGATGACAACTGGGCAAAGCCACATCTACGAGGGATACACAGCTGTCTTTGCCCTAACAGCCTATGTGCAGGTGACCCCACAAGCCTCTGGGCACCTGCCCAAGGGCCCGAACTAGATGGTGGTCAAGCCCTTAAGGAGAAGACTCCACGTTCTGAGTGTGGAGAAAATGTAAAAGAATATTTTCTGCGCAGAAAAGACACGGTCTCTCCAGAAGGGAAGATCTGACTCCCTGCCTCTGCCAAAACAGTTAGATCCAAATGATCGATGCTGATGCTGCCGCTTAGCTGGCCAAACATCTGCACTTGAAACTGCAGGGAAATGGGAAGTTAATCTACTTTCTCCAAAGAAAGGGAGACGTGGTGTGTGTTCACGGTAGTGGGGCTCCTGATGTGTGGAGATGTGTCTTGCTGTGCTAGAGATTCAGGCTGCTCTATCAAGTACAGATGATCACAAGGCGACAAGAGAAGAACATGCAGGCTTCTACTTGCTGGATGAATTATTTTGATGTACGTGGAAAACTTCACCATGTCCTCAAGGCATCTCCTGCCTTTACTGGGAATACTAGCTTTCTACTGTGGTTTTCTTTATCTTATTGATTCCAATGGAAGACCCCGAATTAGAATTCTGAATGCCCTTTGATCTTTTCTTTGAAACAGTAGAAGTGGTTTGGGATACTCTTTAGAGCAAACCCATTTGGTTTGATCATGGGCTGGAATTAAAGCGGTATAAACACTTGCCTATGGTCACATGCATCCTTTTCTTGATTTGTTGGGTGAAAGACTAGAGACTTTTACTGCCTTAATAAGGAAACCTGGACTGGATGCTGTCTCTGCACCTGATAAATCTTTCCAAATTGCCACAGGTGAAATGAAATGTTAATATCCCTTTCAATTATTAATAAAAAAATGTAAATAGATTTTGTTGGAAATGTGGGCCACTGAAAATGAAGTATTTTAATATACGTGTAGATTTTTTTGTTCAATTACTAAAGAACTGTATTTTTAAAGCTTCTTACATATTAAAATGGAGAGGTAATTACTTTCATAAATTGGAAGTACTGCACTAGAGACTTTCTATATTTCTTTGTATTACACAAATCAATTTTAATTGTAGAAAACATTAAATACAGATAAGCAAAGAGAAAAAAAAATCTCTCATAATCCTACCACCCAGAGACAGACACACTAACACTGTGTTCTTTCAGACATTTTTCTTTGCATGTATTTTTTTCTTTAGCACACCTTTTATGCAAACCAGTCTGAAATCTGACCTTCGCCAAAATAATTTATTTCAATAGACATAAACCCACATCACCACGTTAATGGTCACGTAGCATCCCACTGTATCAACACACCGTCATTTATTATTGAATTTCCATTTGCTGGTTGTTCACCATGTTTCCGATTCTGCAGTAATCTAAAAAAAGATATTCTTATATGTATACCATTGCATAATTGCCTGTTTTTTTCACTTTATGATAAATACCTTAAATTTAAGCCACAATGCCTCTCATTCCTTCAAGAAAGAGCTTTTGAGCTCTTGGTTGTAAGGCGATTCCACTCTTTACTTTTACTTTAGGTGTACGAACACCAAGATGGCAGCAAATCGCTGAAGCTGGGTGACTTTGGACTGGCCACCATTGTAGACGGCCCCCTGTACACGGTCTGTGGCACCCCGACATACGTGGCTCCAGAGATCATCGCGGAAACTGGGTAAATGCTTCCCGTGATTTACTGGAGTGCTGTGCTTGCCAAAGAACTAGTCTGCTTCAGAAATAGGAGAAAACTGCCCTGTCCCATCCAGACAGAATTAGCTGTCAGATTTCTTTTAACTTTTTTTTTAGCTTTAAAGTGAGAGCCATTTTCTCTGTTTCCCCAGTCAAGTTGCCAATTACTGCAATCTTGTTCAAGGCTTCCATGTGGCCTTTGTTAAAGGTAGAACAGCAGTTATTAACCCCAGAGTAAAAAATGTTCAGACTAACAGAGAAACATATAGCGATGGTAATTAACTCGCTTTTGGATAAAAGAAACAGACACTGCTGTGTGCGGTGATTACAGTCTCCTGTGGTTATTTCTCTCAGCTGTCCTTATCCTCCTGTCCCAGTCTCATTTTGGCCGTCTTGGCGGTCCATTGATTATCTGTGCAGTACAAACACCCTTAGGCATCAGAGGGCCACTGGGAATTTTCTGGTTTCTGTGTGCAGCAGTGTAAGATGAATGAAAAGCTCTAGAACTGGGGGAGAAGGTGGGTGGCCTAACACTGATTCAGGACCTACCCTCTGCCAGGCCTTAAGCTCCTTTACTTGATTCTTCACTCTTCCAGTAGACGGTATGATTCCCATTTTGCACATGAGTAATCTCTCTGCGATGGTTGGGTTTCATGGAAGCTCATGACTAGATAGTGGTTGAGTCAGCATTTGAACTTGGGGTGTGTGAATAAAGGGCTCTTTATGGAAAGAGCCCTATTTCTTGCCAAGGATCATAGGCCAAGTTCTGAGGCACTAGTCTAACATGGGAGGATTGGGGAAGGGTGGTGCAGCAAGGGGAGACGGCCTTACTTTCTCCCCTCAATGAGTGGTGCAAACGCACACCTCAAGGTCTAGGTTGTATCCTCTGGTGACCCATCAGAGATAGTTTTACTGCTTGACTATTGACCAGAAAGGCAGAAGAACAGAATAGAGGAGAAGGGAATGCCAGCCGGGAAATCCCTCAGGTGGGAGGTAGGGTATGGGGACTTTTTTATCCATCAAATTTGAGTGAGTTGGGAGCCCACATCTGTAACCTTGCCTGACCTCCCTCAGAGCATGCTGCCTCGGGTTTGGCTATGTTTTCTAGTTTTCTGCCGTGGGTACTCTGACATCCTGCTGGGAGGGAGGGGCCCCGGGGAGAAAGAAGATTGAGTTGGGCTCTTGGAGGCCCTCGTTGGAACCCAGCTCTGCCACTGATGTGTGATCTTGAGCAAAACTATTTACCCCCTGGATCCTTGGTTTTCTCCTCTATAAAATAGGCAATAATACTTATCCTGTGTAATGTAAAGAGTGGTTGGAAAGACAGCATAAGATAACATATATCAGTGCTTTACAAATTGGAGAATGTCCTACATGTAATCATTTTTTTCTAACATCAGGGACTTAGATAGTTTCAAGGGTCCATCCCTATCTTAAAATTGATATGACTATAATAAACCTTTTTGATGAAACCTCTCACTTCCTGATACTTGGATATGATCCTAGGCATGCTTTACTTTGATGTTTATTCATATGTCTTACTCTCTTCCTCTCGCTCTCTCTCTCTTTTTTTGTTCTTTCCTTGAATTCTGTTTAGCTGGTGGGTTTTAGTTTAGTGTTTGTTGTTGGGTTTTTAAATTTTGTTTAGCTTGGTTTTTGGTTTAGAATAGTAGAGTCATCTATTTTGCCAATGTCCCATAATTTGTCCTGGCCCGACTTTTGCTAACTCTAACATCACTTACTTTTGCAGATATGGCCTCAAGGTGGACATCTGGGCAGCTGGTGTAATCACTTACATCCTGCTGTGCGGTTTCCCTCCGTTCCGTGGGTACGGGCAGTCATCTTTTATTCAGCACCAACAAAGCATTTCTGTATTCTCTGAGTGATCCATTCTGCCTTCTTGCACAAAGGAGCCTGAAGCAGGAAAGGAACATAAGAACTTGACTTCCAGTGCCTGTTATTTTTTCTATGTTGTACATACTCATTTACATGCCTTCCATAAATATTCCTCATATAATTTAAAAACTCATTCTTTCCTAATTGTCCAAAACGGTTCCATGCTGACATTTTGAATGGCTTAAAAACACACATTTTACACATTTATGGGGAAAGGAAAGGCTTGAATGCCTAAGAGTGAAGAGACATACCCTGGGTTGACAATTTAGTGCTGTTTTTTTCCTTGTTGTGGTTCATCTAAACAGAAGCGGTGATGACCAGGAGGTGCTTTTCGATCAGATTTTGATGGGGCAAGTGGACTTTCCCTCTCCATACTGGGATAACGTTTCTGATTCGGCAAAGGTAGGTTTCCAGTGCGTTTCCTTTCCCTGAGAGCCTGTGTGTCTTAATGCAGTTATTGATTTTGACTCACTTTGTGCAAAGAGACCTAATGATGTTGTAAATAAGATTTCTGTCCATTTTGGTTATAATTACCAGGTTTTCCAAGAGTTCACAGTCATCAAGTCTTCTGTTCGTAGCCATCTCAACTTATCAAGTGGTCTCTGTTTCCCTGTTTTCATCACTCCCTGTTGTCACTCCAGTTACGTTGCTATAGCCTCTTGCTATACCCAACCCACACCAGGCTGCCTTAGATTTCGACATAGCTTATGGCTTTATCTCTTTTGGGTCTCAACTCAATTTCATCCTCTCAGGGAAGCTTTCCCAGACCACCCTGTTTTCCGTTGCAGGTCTTTAATCTTCCTAGCTCACCTTAACTTCCTCATCTGCTTTATTTTTCTCTATAGGACTTACACCCACATGTCCTTCTTGTATACCATCTAATTGCCTTTCTCTGTCTACCTTTATAGATAGGTAGCTACAGATAGGCGGATACATCTTACTTATGTCATTTATTTTCTAATTTTCTCCCACTGGAACACAAATTTCATCAAGACAAGGATTTTTATGTATTTTGTTTATTATTATATCATCAATGCCTATGTAGTAACCAGTATATAACTAATGCTTAACATGTATTAAAATGAATGAATAAGAGAGCAACCTCTAAGAAAACTAAAAATCTTACATGGAGACATTGGTAGAGCTTGAGATAAAAAAGAAGACTCTTTAATTGATTCCTTAAACTTACGTCTCCAAGCATTGACTTAAATTTTTGAAAAATTGATGTTGAGAAATAATTGACTTTTGATTATTCAGTGTGTATGCCGTTCCTTTCTCTGTGTCCTGAGTGTGAGTTCAATTTAAAACCTGACTTTTTCTGTGGGGGTAGAGGTCTTTTTGCCTGTGAGCAATCTCTTCAGGAACCAATCAACCTCTCAGTGCTGTCACTCATAACAAGAGGGCTCAAAGTCATTGACAGATAGGACCATCTCCCACACCTCCATGTCACCTGGCAAAGGGCATCACACCAAATAGTTGCTTTAATAAGTCCCGGCCTATGTTGGAAACTGAATGAATGCCTTCTTGCATAAAGGAGCCTGAAGCAAGAAAAGAACATAATGAGAACTTTAAGGTAGAATCTCTACATCAGTGGAAATAAATCATTCCCATCACGGAATGGTACTCAGACCGTGAATGTAAGGAACTGGATAACACATATCTAACCATTTTGTTACATGGGAACTTCTAATCCGAAGTGGACAAATGTATGACAGACTCATCATTAAAACCCAAGCTGTGCTTTCCTGGTCCAAATCATTTTGAACTCATGAGGAGGTCTCATTAATTTCAGAACCATTAAATCATTTGCCTCTTAATAGTTCCATTTTATTGGTATTGATTAATGTGGAAATTTTTGAAGCAATGTTAACAGATTTCTGTATTAAACTAACTTAGAAATCTGCCATTCAAGTGTGAAATTCTAGACTAAGAAAGGAATATTAATTCTTTAACTTATATAATTTATTTCTTCTCTACTAAATACACTTTAATACACTTTCATTTTAATCTTCATTTCATTTTTTTCTCCCAATTATAAGCCATATATTTATAGTTCTAAGTATTCACCTTTAACTTCTAAAGGTGTTAGATGGCTGTGGGTAAGTTGAGTTGATATATTTAAAATTTAGAGCTTTTCCAAACTAAAAGAGAACTTCCACATATGAAAATGCTCAGAATTCTGCCATAAAAATGAGACAAATGGAATCAAACGTTCCCTTCCACAGGAGCTCATCACCATGATGCTGTTGGTCGATGTCGATCAGCGATTTTCGGCTGTGCAAGTCCTTGAGCATCCCTGGGTTAATGTAAGTGACTTCCTCCTTTCCCTATATGTACTCCTAACGTTCCTTTCTAAAACTGCAGATTTCCTAATGATATCGCCTCCTTTGTAAAGTGTTGTGTTCATATTTGTTCCTCCCCTTCAAACACACCGGAACAGTGATGGGATCTCAGACTGTTCCTCTGATGGATCCGTCCTGACGTGTGCTGTCATGGTCCCCTGCACAGAGCCTTTCATTCGATTCAGATGGGTCTGCCTTCTGACTTGGGAGGTGCATGCACGTGGTCGCCAGCCCCCGCCCCCCAACCTACATTCTGAATACATCAATAAGAGCAGATTTTCTGAGTCAGTACTGCTTTTGCATGATTCCTACCAAAAATACAATTGACCCAAGGGTCTCCACATAAGCCTTGAAGTACTCCAATGCAGCACTTCTCAACCTTGAATTCGCTCACAAGTCACCTGGGGATCTTGTTAAAATGCAGATTCTAATGTCGTAGATGTGAGGCTCTGAATTTCTCAAAGCTCCCAGATGCCACTGCTGCTATTTGAGTCCTAGAGTCGAATGATACATCTGTATGAAGGAATTCTCCGGAGCACAGTCATTATATTTTGTCCCTATATCTCTCTACAATGGATTGATAAGGTTTGTTTTGAATCATAATATATGCATAGAGTGCTTCACTTATAAAGTCTGCCCAGGACTCTTTTAAGCACCTCACATACATTAACTGATCGTGTTCTTCCCAACAACTGTATAATCTAGGTACTATTGTAACCCTCATGGGTACGTGGAAGCTCCAGACCTAGGTTTAATGGTTCTTAGAAGACAGACATGTGCATATTGATATGGACATGAACACAGGCAGGAACAAGTATAACATGGTTAGCTCGTTGATAGAAATTTTGCCAGCCTTCCTATGGCTTCAAGTGATCTGGCTGTGAGTTGAAGGCAACAAAATATTCCACTTCTCTAAATTATCACCATAGTGATTGGTCAGGTGGTTTTGTGTCTTTTTTACCCCAAATCACTAATTTTAGGGATAACGTATGATTGAAAGCACAGTGTTGAGACAGACTACATCCAAGGTGACAAGAGCTTGGGATCTTGTTCATGTTCCACCACATGATGGCCATGGGCCGAGGTTCTAGCCCTTTTTTTTTGTTTTGTTTTTTGTTATTGTTTTTCTTTTTTTAAATTATTATTAACATATAATATAGTAGTTGTTTCAGGGGTAGAGGTCTGTGATTCATCAGTCTTACACAACACCCAGCACTCACCACAACACATACCCTCCCCAATGCCCCTCACCCAGCTACCCCATCCCTCCACTACCCTCCCCTCCAGCAACCCTCAGTTTGTTTCCTGAGATGAAGAGTCTCTTATAGTTTGTCTTCCTCTCTGGTTTTGTCTTGTTTCATTTTTTCCTCTCTTCTATGATCCTTTGCCTTGTTTCTTAAATTCCACATATCAGTGAGATCATATGATAATTGTCTTTCTCTGATTGACTTATTTTGCTTAGCATAATACCCTCTAGTTCCATC